AACTGTATCCTACAGTTATAAGGTTACTTTGTTATCACATTTTAAACCCGATAATATAACCAGAAAAAAACAACTTTTCAACATAAACTGTAGGTGTTTGACTTAACTAAACAAAAATACATGTACAAAGGTTCGCAAAACTGTTTTTATTGTTGTAATTTTATTATAATACGGCATATTGAAGCTTTCTTTATATGTAAATATTTTCAGTAAATACATCTACTAATAATATTCAAATAAATACATCAAAATGTTCGTAAAATAAATCATACGTTCAGCAATGTTGAAGTTCTGATATTATTTAATACATGAAAATATTGATAAGAGCTTTATATGTACTGTTCTCTCTTAACGTATTATAGTTTTTTGTGAAATGACTTAGGTTTAAAATTGTCTTTTTTTAAGGACAACAGGTTTTAGTTTCCAGGCGACCCTTGGACGCTCTGGGGCAATTGTATCTCCATTTTTGATTCACATAGTAAGTATGACCTAAGATAATGAATTGTGTTTACTTATTAATAACAAACATTTAGCTGACTGATATAAAAAATGTGTCAAGTACTTCTGTCTTACAGGAATGAAATTTATTTATTCTCTGGCATTTGAAAACGTGGTTTTTATATATTCACCCTTTTTCTGCTGCAAGCTGTTATGCTTTGATTAAATGTTCGTTATCTTACTTTTAATATTAAATTAAAAATTTTGTGATTATTTTTCTTCCCCCTTTAAAAAAGTAACCATGCAATTCTCTGAATAAAAAAATCTTGATTATCATAAGCAAAAAGAATTTGTTATCTCCAAACAGGATGGATATTTCCCTGGTGCCATGTACTTCATTTGTGGAGTGATATTAATTTTCTCATCGGTTGGCATTTTGTTCCTAACGGAGACAAAGGACATTGTACTACAGGACTACATTAAGCTGAAGAATGAGGAATGAACAAGTTAATAATTTCATAGACTCGTTCTTAATTGATATCCCATTGCTAAAGGAACAGTACAATATAGTTAAGCATTGTCCGGATTTATTTCTTGTTAAGCTGTGTTATATTCTATTATCATCTTATATCTCTGTGTTGTGTGTTAAAGGCATTTTTATTCTGTATGGAAGTAGAATTATTAAGTAGAAAATAGAAATCAACAGTATAGATATGCTTAATATTTACTTTATTTTTAGATTTTCTAACCCTTCATAAAAATGTTCATGTCTACATCCAAACAAAGAATAAGTGTAACAAGAAGGTGTAATTTCCATTGCACAAGCAATAATGAGCAATAATGAAGAAACGTTTTCATTATACTATATAATTCAGATTTTCATTTAGACAGGTTTAAAGAAGGAATAAAGCTACAACCAATTCTCTTTTAGCAAATAATTTTAAGTGTAAAAAATGCAGGTCAAACTACTGGTGGGATTCAAACAAACTTTACAGGAGTGATCAGTACCATCCCTAGTTGTGCACGTCATAGAAAAATCTTGCCCGACTTTCACAGGCCAAACTATCAGGGAACTTTCAACCAAACTTCACAGGAATGATCAGTTCTATCCTTAATTGTGCATATCGTCAGCCCGTTCTACTTCACTGCACAAAATGGTCGCAAGAGCTATGAATAGAAAAATCTTGTCCGGCTTTCGCAGGCCAAGCTACTGGTGGGATTTCAAAAAAAAAAAAACGTCACATGAGTGACCATACATAGTTCTGGGTTTTTTGTGTGACAAAAACCCTTCTAGTTATCATTTTTACAATTAACCAAAGTAAGCTGATGTTCTAAAATATCTTTGAGTCTTGTGCATAACCATCATATCACTAGAATATATTCTTTCAGATTGAACAATATATATAGAAATGGTCTAGGTGATGAAAAAATATTGTAGTCTCAAACTTAAAAAGAAAATTTAAATCTATAATAGGGATTGACCAGCAGTTTATATTGGTCAATATTCAGGATTAAAAAAAAACACACAAAAAAAATCAATTTCCCCCCTCTCCCTATCTCGCTCTCATTTCGTCCTTCCTTCTTTCCTAAAACATTAGAAACAGGAACATTTTTTCATCAAATATGCACTAAAATTGCAAAAAGGACCACCATATTAAAATACATATTATTAAAAAAAAGGAAAAATATATCCATATTTAAAATTTGAAATTCAATCATGTTTTTGTTTCAAATTGATAACGCGTATGTAATATAATGACCGGTAATTTTGTGCGGCCAATGACGTCACCTGTATTCAAAAGCTTGCCATAACAACTCGACAAAAACTAGGTGATTTATCTATCAAGGGAAAAAAATATTCATTATGTTTCGTAACACAGTGTATTAAAGGTATATTATAAAACAAAAAATACAAAAATATGCTTTTATGATTGTGTGCTCGTAGGGCGAATAAACTTTACACAATCAACTCGAACAATACAATGCATTAGACAAGCACATTCATACAATATTCCCTATGTATGTGCTTTAGAATTATACGACCCAAAACAACTTGTGTGTACCTATTTACCAGAGATACAGTGATAGAAACGGGTGGTATATCCAGCAATACATACGGAGTGAGTAGGATTGGTAGTTGTTGGGTATTCAGTACCCAACATATACCCTCTCGTGAGTGCGGACAGACGGACGCCAGGGGGTATAACATAATATGCCCGAAATTATTTCGGGCATATAAAAATTAAAAAGAAAGAACTGTAATCATGAACACATTTTGTGTGCTAATGCCAGTTGTATATCTTTAAAACATTTACGATTATGGATGATTTTAATGTGACCCTAATTTATTTGTTGAAACTTGAAAACAGACCAAAATGGTTCATCTGCTACACTATTTGCATCCTTATGACATTTTTAATTATAAATTTTGCATTATTGTTCTAAAATATATTTAGGAATACTTTTAGATACTTACCAACGTATTATAATTAAGGACAAAGTTACGTACGGGTCAACCCTTTTTGCCAATTATGATATACCATTGTATTGTAACAGTCTTTACATATATGTATATGCTTCTATTTTTGGCATTGAAATAAATATGATAAAAAGAAAATGACGATATATTGTTTGTTGACGATACTGATATTTCTACTTTAGCTGTTTGAAATACACTTCCTAAATTTGAGTTGATAACTCTATTTACATTTGCCACAAAGCCGGCCGCTCAAATATCAATGTAGACACTAACCATTTATAAAGCTGTTATAAAGAATAATCTCAGTGTTCTTAATATATTTGAAACAAGAAGGCCAAGATGGCCCTAGATCGCTCACCTGACCCATCGAACTCATCCGAGCAATTACTTAGACATGCAGCCTAACCAAGGCTGATGACAATTGAGTCAAAAATGTGACCACTAGAGTATTAACAAGATTTTTCATTTTCTGGGAAATTTACGGGTATATTTTTGGGAAATACATCGGCCAATCAGATGACGGTTGTTTATTTTTGCCAAGATGGCGGTGTTATTATAGGAATTTCAACGGGGAAATACTCTGAAGCCGCAGGTGACTTTATATCATATTGTCATTATAGGTTATTAGAATATTTTGATTACTTTTATGTAGTGTTAATTGCCCAGCGAGATAAATGATTGTGATTTTATCTCTAACGATTGCAACAGTAGTGTAACTTTGTGTTTCCTGCGTAGCCACGATCGATGTCGACCTTGCGTAAATGAATAGTCTTTTGTTTCTTTGGCGGCCAATACTCGTTAAGTATGAGAGAGAAAAAAAGTTTTACCTTGGTTCGATAGATAAATTATTCGACTACATATTGCATATTTAAACTTTATCGTTTAAAAGAAACTTCGAGGCGAAAACCCTGATTGGGGAATAGACACCTTCGTGTGGGAGTTGTTACCCTTGTCTATATATTAGTATATAGTGTAATGGGAATGGACTTAGAATTCATTTTTGACTTAGGATAACTGTTTTCTACCATCAAACACATATGTTGTAAACATTTAATGAGCCGTTTCCCTTTAAAGTCAATGGTAAAAGAAAGGATATGAACAAAGCTGCATTGTGCTGTAACAAATGAAAAGTTTACAAAACTGAGCCACCCGAATTGTTTAAGATGTTCGTTAGATAATTCTATGAAAACATAAATAAACTAGTTCGCCCTAAGAAAAAAAGGTCGTTCTAAACCTTCACAAATCTAATCGCCACTTTGTCATCAGTCAACTGCTGCTGCAATAAAAACAATTAGTACATCTTTCTTTCGAAAAAAAAGTCTGCAAGCTGGAACACTGGTATAATCCAAACAAGAAATGAATATGTACACGATAGGTATATCTACCAATATGTATCCTCAAAATTGAATTTGTTGTTTTCTTCTAAATACAACGTAAGCAGCGGTTCTAAAGGACGCATTTCTTTAAGCAGAACAATGTTTCTATGTCATCACAAGTAATTTCTTGTATACACTATATTCAAGCATATGAATAAACAACACTTCATTTAGATTGTTCAATACTTATATCATTCGCAGATTTATTATCTCCTTTGTATTAAACATGTATCAGAAGAAAATATTCTGACCTAGAAAATGTATTTTATAGAGCAAAAGTAGAAGCAGTTTCAAATATCACAATGAATTCGAATTTCACCAAATTATTGACTTCAAATGAGTTGCGGAATGTGACCCTCTCTTTAAGTTTAGTATGGTAGGTCGCGTCTTCACAGTTTTAATTAGAGCTTTTCATTATACAAAAATATTGTTCATATGAAATCATATGATATGATGTTATATTAATGTCTGGTGAACATAAATATAATAATTAAATACATTTGAAATCTTTTAACACACTGTACACTATCAAAAATGAACAACTCTAGTTAACGAATGGTAGTAATAATAAAAGTGGTTCAAACCAAGTATGGGCTTAATCATTGTTACATGCAGCAGCAAGAAACGTTACATGCAGAGCTATATTTCAGTTGGTTCAAACTTAAAGATACTGACACAATCGAATTGTTTTGAATTATGTATAAACTCAAACTGTTCAAACTGTAGCACAATACCTATAAATAGTATGAAAATGATTCCGTCGTCCACATTGTATGACGTAGCTAAAAATAGAATATGCATACTTCTGGTTTTTTTTCCAGTAAATGTATAATATAAAAACATCAGTTTAAAGGTTTTCTTCGTGTCTTTCTTGGTACTGTCTATCATTTGGAATAGAGGCTGTATCTGTAAACGTATATCTAACATTATTACTTTGTTGACTTCCCCGCAGATTTGATGTAAGCAGGTATCCATGTCAATAAAATAAAATCATATTAGAGAGAGTAAATTAATACTATGATTGTAATTGCTGTTGTAACGATAACAATAATAAGTATTATTATTCTTCACCACCTATAAAATATTAAAGTGCGTGCTTTGCACAATGAGTTAATTATGTTTCATAAGTTCAAATGTGCTTATGACGTGGCAGTTCTCTAATTTTCCATGACTGAATTTTATATATCAATCATTTTTAATGTTTTTGTACGTGATCAATCTTCATCTTCATTCCTTTAGACATGGCAGGAAAAGGTTTTGTTTAGCAATTTTCTGTGTGCCGCAGGTATTTTCCAACATTTTGGTAACATGTTAATTTAGATATAATATGTAAATGCATTTTTATGTGATTTAATCTAAATCAGAATACAAAACATCTTTAAAACAACAAACGCCAAAGAGTTTTGTTCAGGAGAACAACAATTACTAAAATGATTTAATAAAAATTTTATTATATGTGAAATTGAATTAGGATGATTAAATTTTGATTAATATCATTATTATTTTTATCTAGTTTTAATTATTCCTATTTTACAGCGTATCTTCAAATTATGACTTGTTTATGTCATAACCTTTATCAGTGTCAAAGCAACGATTTAATGAACATTCTAAGCGTTTTAAGATGCACTTCAACTTTTAAGTTCTTTTTAAATATTTAGTTCATTTCAAAATGCAATTAAATTCCATTTTGATCCATCATTTTTATTATTATCTTTGGGACACAATCTTTTATTACAATTTAAACATTTTCGTGTGTTGCTATTATAATACATGCTATATTTTATAATATATTATAATGTATGCTATATTTACATTAATTTTAGATAAACTACCGA